GATAATGTGCATTTGCCAATGACAAACAACAAATGTTGCAGAGAGAGAGAGAGAGAGAGAGAGAGAGAGAGAGAGAGAGAGAGAGAGAGAGAGAGAGGTGCATCAGAGAGTGACAGTTACTGGGAGGATTTTCAACAGGCCTCTTCCTGGGAGTATTGTGGAGCAGCAGCTGAGATGTTAAGCATGCTAATGCTAATTATGCAACTGTGTGAAACTGGCCAGGAACACAGACAGCAGCACCTCAGAGACAAACACCCTGGCCAAAGCGAATACAAACAGAAATATCTTTCTATGTCATGTTTTATTCAATTAAAGCAGAACATATATGCTCACATAAACAGTATGGTGCAGTCCGTATTTAGTTTGATGGATATTTTATAAAGTTGTTTATGGATTTTGGGAAAGATATCTTTTGCAGAAACAGAAAAAGCATGAACCATGTGGCCATGTATGAAACACACTTATGTTCATACAAAGCTGCTGTGATCGGTGGAGGAGAAGTAAATAAGAGTGAGTACTTGCGTAACAGAGAGTTCAAATAATCTGAAACCATTGTGGCTGATTAGCTGTGTTGCACCGTCTACTTGGAGTATACACAGTTACAGAAAAGAGGATTGGTTAACAGAGAGTTGTGAGGAGTGGATGGACAGCTCTCTCCCGTCATTAGCGAACTAGACCTACAGATAATTGCTGCATTGCTAAGTTTCATGAACCACACGATTTGTCTGGATGTACAAAGGTTAATTTCCACCTTAACACATTTCCCCGTATTCAATTTTGTATTCAATCCTGCAATGTTGTATCCGATCTTCCTGATAAAAAGGTTTGCAACAAATCTTTAGGTGGGCCCTAAAATTGTTTTAAATGTGTTACACAACTGTTAAACTTTTTTGAATATTAACTGAAATGTATTTATTTAGGATGAACCCTCTGAGATGAACCATCTTGAAAAGATTAGGATCAATAAAGTAAATCTTATCTTATCCTGTTTTCTTAGGGGGTCCTAAGAATATTATAATATTGGGTATTCCAAAAATAGATATGAATTTGTTTGTTTGATACAAATAAAGATTGTCATTTCTAACAATTTGTCCAGCATATATTGTTGTTGTAATTTATAATATAGGAGAAGGATTATAATGGAGAGATTCAGAATCTTATTTTCCCCATCTTAACTCACACTCTGGGGAAAGACAGAATATTTGAGGATGTTTGACAGAGAGAAAGGTGAAATAAAATGAAGTTACATAACATTAAAAATGAGCATCATTTTTCAGCCTTCAAAGCCTCAGCATGTCAATCAGCAGTGGGGGCCTTCATCAGGGTGGGGGGGCGGAGGGTGTTTGAGGTGTAAAGGTATCAGGTGGCCCTCTCCTCTGAAGCACCAGGCCAACATTTTGAACGCTGCCCTAATTGAGGCCCCTCCCTTGGCCAGCGTGGTCCTGGTGTCCCCCCTCTAGAGGCCCGGGGGGCCGGTGTGGCCGTCTGGGGGGGCCTGACCCCAAAACCCTGCCTGAGGCTCTGACTGCCACCAGCCTGAACCCTCCCTCGCCCCCAACCATCTCCCCCCCTCCTCCCCTTTCTCTCTCTGATGCTCTGCTACACTCTGTCCAATTGGCTCTGAGCTACAGACTTCTTTTGTCTGTCCTCATTAGAATACTGATCCTGCACACACACACACACACACACACACACACACACACACACACACACACACACACACACACACACACACACACACACACACACACACACACACACACACACACACACACACACACACACACACACACACGTTAATTTCTCACTAATTGCAGCAGTATCATTAGTCGATCTTTGCTAGGCAGATGGTAAACAAAGGAATTTGAAAATTAAACTGAGAGAAGTCGGAGTCAGTTCACACATGTGCTTTTTGTTTCATAAAATAATGTAAAATAAATATACATTTGGTTTAAATGCCTCTAAATTAAAAATAACTAAACTAGCTTAAAGGGCTTTACAGTTTTAAAGCATACAATCCAATCTCCAAACTACTACTCACACTTTCTGTACATTCACACCATCTTAAATACACTTAACTGCTTTTTCTTTCATTAGTATTGTGAGTCATTAAATGTAAACAATGGACCAGACTTCAGTACTTGGGGTTAAGAGAAACTTGGTTTCCAGAGCTCAGTTCTGATTGTGAAATATCATTAATTTGTCGTGTATACAATACAGAAATAACCTTAACCTAACAATCTGTCAGAGACTTCAAACCAGTCAAGTAAGCATCATTATAACTGGGATGAAATATGCCTCTTTGTATTGAAAATAATGAACTGGAATAAAGAAAGAAGTCAGAAAGTTGATAATGAACTTCAGAAACTGTTTAAATTAAAATCCCTATTCTAACAGATATTTGTTTGTTGCTCTTATTTTACAGACATGTTGACAGGTATGACATATATCACTGTGGTATTTATTTATCTGCCGCAAATATGCATTTGATTTGTTGAAATCATATTTAAATTGAACAGATGGTATAACACTTTAGGATAACACACCTTTTGTTAACCAATGCTTTCATGGCATCTCTTATTCAGTGTGTTGTGATCACAGAGTGGCTTCTTACTCTCATTCTTCACCTCTGTGTTGAGGGAAGTCCAGGTGGAAGTGAAGCTGATGCTTGTGAAGACAGAATAACATAAAGTAGACAAATCCATTCCTAGTTTTGTTTTGTTTGTTTAATATTGACACATTCAACACAGCGCAAATAGAAGGATGTCTCACTCACCCTCACTTCACTTCTCTCTCCTTCTGCATCTATTCAACACAGAACAAATGTACGTGCATCCAATCACACTTTATAAAAAGTCAATCTAAAATGCAGTTAAAATCAGGATTGTTTTATTATGAGCTTTTCTGTCCGATAATGTGTTTATTTTGGATTCATTTGGAATTGAGACTGCAAAGAGTGTAATGGCAGGACATTTAGAAACTGGTACTGAGTCTGAGTATGTTGGAAGTTGGTCAAAACTAAATGAAGGAAATCTAGAAATAATTCAAGATAATCTGCCTTCTTTTAATGTTGTTGTGAGGAGAATGTATTAGGGCACAGGTAGTTTGAGCAGAATAGTTCATGGTTTCAGCTTTATGGACTATGACAGGTGTTTTCATGCAAAAGATCATTCAAAACACCTTCATGTCTCTTCTTCAGCATCAGGATCAATAATGATGCAATCTGAGCTTTTCATGGCCTTCCTGTTAAATATGTTATTGTGGAAGTCATGGTTTCAGTCAGCATTGCTTCTTTTTTTTCTCGACACAAAGGGAGATAAATCACAGATAACATGGTGCAGTTGAGCCGGTCCCTTCAATCCTCTCCTCCATCCGGCAGCAGCTGTCCATCATTCTGATTGGCAGCCCAGAGGAGGGCTCTGACGGGCAGATGAGAGCAAGAAGCCGATCTCTGCCTCAGAGGCAACAACAGCAGTCCTGTGTTCTCCTGCCCACCTCCCACCACCTCCTCCTGCTCTCCTGCCCGCCTCCCAACACCTCCCGCAGGCCCTCCTTCCTCCTCTGCCTGCAGCCAATAAAAAGTGGACAACATCTCATGGAGGAAATGCATTGTTTACATGGACCAGAGCGCTCTGTCTCTCTCTGTTTGTCTGGCCGGCTATTGTGAAAACATCAAGAAATGACAAGAAAATGCAACATACAACAGACTTGTCACCAAGAGCAACCGCTGCATTTAAGAGCGCCGCTCTGACATCGAAACGGATCTGAGAAACTTCACTAAACCGAGAAACTTCACTAAACCTTCCAAGAGGCTTCATGCCGCTGCTGTGCTTCCTTCTCCAGGCTAATCTTGCTTCCCACTTCTACTTTAAAAGTCTTATATCTCACATGCATCATGCTGTACAGAGCTGACCTCCATCTCCAGGACCACCTTCATCCTCCTTTCATGGACCCACACCTCGCTCACGAGGCCGACTTCGCTCACCAGGACCACTTTCATCCTCCTTCATTGGACCCTAACCTCGCTACTGAGGCCCATCTCGCTCCTGAGGCCCACCTTTATCCTCCTTTCCTGGACCCTCACCTCGCTACTGAGGCCCACCTCGCTCCTGAGGCCCACCTCGCTCACCAGGACCACCTTCATCCTCCTTTCCTTTACCCTCACCTCGCTACCAAGGCCCACCTCGCTCCTGCGGCCCACCTCGCTCTCCAGGACCACCTTCATCCTCCTTTATGGACCCTTACATTGCTCCTGAGGCTCACCTCGCTCCTGAGGCCCACCTCGCTCTCCAGGACCACCTTCGGCCTTTTCTTGTGGAACCGAACCTCGCTCTCCGGGACACCACACCTCGCTCCCCAGGCTCCCCTTCTTCTCCAGGCCCACTATTTCTCCAGACTCCCCGTGGCCCCTGGACTTTGCAGCTGCCTCTGCAGGCCCCCGCTTCACTCCACAGGCTCTCACTAGTCTCCAGGCTCCTCAGCCAGAGTCTCTTTGATGTTGCCCTCCTGGCAGACAACATAGAGGCTGGTGGAGGGATTACTGTGTGTTTGGTGTGTGTGTGTTTGTGCGTGTGGAGCAAACACACTTGTGCGCACCTGCACGAAAACTAAAAGAAAAAACCCCCACTAGAGCCATAAGACGGAGGAGCCTCATAGACAAATGTGTGTGTGTGCTTGTGTGTGTGTGTGTGAACCATACTTGAATTCACTCTTTTCTTGTTCACACACACAAACACAGAAAAAAAGGGAACTTGAAAAGGACTGTTTGATGAGCGGCTGACAGCAGCTCGACTGGCTCTGCTCGGTCTGCCCACAGTGGGCGGGGCTTAGTCAGATGATTGACAGGTGTCACCACCAATAAGCCTCCAGACCATCAGCTGTCAAACTGCAGCAGAGTGCCTTGCAGCCTCTGGGATTATCCCACTGACAAAATATTAATCGTAATCAAAAAAGGCTTTCAGTAGAAAAAGAAGACACTGAATTTGGCACAAAACTAAAACATATTCAAAAACTACTTCCACAAAAGTAGGTAAAGTAAAATCCAAAACTCTTGTGAAATATTTCCAACACATTGATCGATTTGTCACAGAATCTGTATAGGGAAAAGTTTGGACTACATATAAGGACTTGTAAATGAGGAAGTTATTCAGAGATTTGTAGTGTTTTATATTCAGTGTTTCAACAATCCTCAAAACCTGCATCTTAATACTGGAATTCATTATATATCAAGTTCACATGCAAGTTAAACAGTTTTATCCAAAACATAATATTCACTTTGCTGAAAGAGAAACAATATAATATACAAACACAAAAGTCAACAGAGACATTGAATAAAAGCAAGAGAACATTGAGCAATTCAACATATTACTGAGGCACTGGATTATAGATAACATCAGTCTGCAATGCCAAACATCTGGCATAGACGCAACCCCTCCCCACCTTCAGTCTCCTTACTGTGTATTTTAGCCTTCGTCAGTTTCAGATCACTGTAGTTACGGAGTATACAAAACATTAGCACAATCGTTTTACAAAATGCCATACTTACTGTCAGTGGATACAGAAATTGACAAGAGAAATATAATTGACCACAGTACAATACGTATGGAAATTACAAAGTGTAGGTACTGCTTTAATAGATTCAGGAATGTAAAGACATCTAAAAAATCTGCATGTGTGACGAAAATATTGCACAGACATTTAAGGCTCTTCAGCGAGCTTAATGTTCGAAGTTATACCACACACAGGTGTAAGCGACAACTAAGCACTGGCTTGATTAGTCAATGAGACAAAGATATTACATTACATACACATTATAAACTATATAAATACACTATACTTTTCAATGTAGACCTTGATTACAAATTGTAAAACAGAAATGTAGCTACAACCATTTGTTACGAGTACTTTAACCTTCAGTCCAAAAAGGCTTCTCTTAATTTCCACCATGATTCAGAATTGACAATCGGATACGTTGTCTTCTCATTTAAATATATTATAGGTTTCAGTTAACCTCTGCAAATGGTTTGGGAGCACAGACCGAGGTCATTTATTTACTTTCCACGTAACTCCTCCCACGTGGGTCTTATGAGACTTTGTGAAGCCCTCCTGCAGTGGTGGGGTTTCTCTAAGCTCATCTTCTGAACTTCAGTAAGAAAATTAGCATAGTAGATGATCTCCGATGAACTGACCGTCATCAGTGGAAACGATGGCGGGGGTCGTGGCATCGTTTGAGATCTCTGGAGGCAACCGTAGGTCTCAGTTCATCTCCGGTTGACTTTCGGAGGTGACGTCTGACGTGCTCTCTATATGAACTAAAGCCAAAGTCAGAGCAATTACGTGTCAGGATTCCTCCGGAGTCTTGTGAGAGACACATCAGCTCTTAAAAGGAACATTTTGCTCCAGTTAGTGCTCTTCAAGGGGATTACGCTCTTTATAGAACTATAGGAATTCACTTACTCCTCCCTCAAGGGGTACTATTTAAATGTCATTTTTGTCAAGCAGATGATGACAAACTTTAGACTCCTTATTAAATATCGCATGTCACAGCCCGTCAACCTTGATGTTGAGAGCAACATTAGACGCTCTATCGTGATCAAGTGTGGTTTTGATTTGAAATTAGACAACAATGATGCGGCGTCAGAGGAGGATTCTCGTGCTTCAGCTGGCGGTTGTAGCTGGATGTTGGGCCTGTGGCTGGCTGCTAGCGCTCTGCCAGGCAGATGAGAGCCGGGTTAATGTTGGGATTTGTTCCCTAAAGCTCCGACACAGAGGAAATACTGATCAGCTCTGCCGTCAGCCTCAAGACCTGCTAATCGCTAATCAGCATTTACACAGCCTCTCGCTGTCTCTCTCTCTCTCTCTCTCTCTCTCTCTCTCTCACACACACACACACTTATGGGTTATACTCAGTGTTAGAAGGGAAACTTAATAATACATTTCATTTATATAGCACACTTTAAAAACGACGTCCTCTCAATGTGCTTCACAATGCTATCAGGAGAAAATAAAATAAAAATATGGTAATATAAAAAAGGTGAAGAGCATAAAAGGTTAGAATAAAAAATAAATAAATAAATTAGAGTCAGTAAGACTTGGTGCGGAACAGGTGGGTGTTGAAGCTTTTCTTAAAAACTGTGATTGCAGAGGTCCGTATGTGAGAACTTGACCCATGATCCCTAAAACATACTTCAATAAAACTACATTGAGGATTTCCTGCAGGTCCAGGCCCCCCCTGCCCCCTCCTCAGAGCCGCAGACGTCCTCCGCTCAGAGTTCATCCGTCAGTGCTCCTCCCGTCTGCATCCTGGTGGACAGCCGCTGCCTCAGTGGAGGGTCGGAGCTGATGACCAGCCTCCGTCAGCGCCACGCAGCCACCCTCCACGTCTGCTCACTGGACGGCAGCTACTTCATCGTCAGCAACCGCACGGCAGTGGAGAAGCACAGCCAATCAGATCTGGCGGCAACGCAGAACCGGAAGCGATTGGCTGAGAGAGTGAACAGCCTGCAGGGGTTGTTCGAGCGAGTTTGTCTCATAGTGGAGAAGGACCGGTCCAAGCCAGGTCAGTCAGACGGTTGATTTGATAAGCAACGTTTTGTAGATTATTAGCCTATATTTGGATTACAGGAAAATATCATAGTTCACACAATAATTAGATTTAATAGGAATTATTAATCAATCAAAGAACTAATCACATATTTAAAATAATAACAAGTAGCGTTATCACAGTCTTACACCTAAAAGTCCTGCATTTAAAGTCTGACATGAGTAAAAGTACTCAAGTGTAGGCGTCAATATATACTAATAGTAACACAAGTAAAAGCAATCAGTGTACAGAATGGTTTATTTCAGATTACTGATGCAGCTGTTAGAGATGGAGCTAATTTGAAAGACTTTATAATCTAGTGAAAGCCTCATCTATAACAATATATCATCATTCATTTGTTTATTTCTATTTTCTATTGATAATCTGAATCTGTAAAGTAACTGAATCTGTCAAATAAATATAGTGATAATTGACAATGATAATTGTCTCCTCCACAGGTGAGGCATCACGTCCGTTTCAGCGAACGCGTTGCTATGACAGCACTCTGACGGCTCTGGTGAGTACGGGGGTGCGCCTGCTGTGGAGCGACGGCGCTGAGCAGAGCGCCGGCCTGCTGGCAGACCTGGCCCGGCTGGAGCAGCGGAAAGGTCAGGCAATCAGCGTGCCGCTGGAGGTCAAAGGGTCGCACCGGCAGCAGGCCCTGCAGCTGTACCTCGGCCTGCCCTCCGTCAGCTACGTCCACGCCCTCAGCCTGAGCCACAACTTCAGCTCCATCGCCCAACTCATCAACAGGTAGAAAGAAGAGTGTGTACATCGTGGGCAAACATGTTCGGCTTCTTTCCCTTCACTGAGAGACAGGAACAGCCTGAACAACATTATTAAAACCTGCTCTAAGGTCATCGGAGAGAGACTTAAACTCCTTTTGTAACCAGCAGCGGAAAGCAGAGAGCATTCTTGCAGATTAATTTGTTCTGTTGCCATCAGGGCGAAGATATGCTCTACCTGCTCTTAAGACAAATCGCTTTTCAAAATCATTCATCCCCTCTGCACTCAAACTTTTAAATTCTTGATAGGTTTTTTCTATTTGATTGTGATGCTATCAACTACTTATCTAAATTGGAATGATCCACATCTCTGCTCCCGGGTGTATCTGTGTGCTTTCTTCCTGTATGTTCCTGCCTGTGTGTACATGACAAACTGCTCATAACCAATTGCCCCTTGCGGGATTAATACAGTTGTTGATTGATTGATTACACACAGTGTCCTCTCCCCTCCTGCAGCTCCATTGAAGCCATACAGAAGGGAGGCAGTATGAGTCGATCCAGAGCCGAGGAGATCTACCGCTTCCTGCGCTACTCCTGTGACTCCTTCATGATGAACTCATCCACAGCAGGGAAGAGCAGCTAGCAGCGGGGAAGGGAAGCGCTGTAAGAAAAAGACAATATGTTCCTCTGTTGCTTTATTCCGTTCTCGAGGAACCAGAGGACAGTTACTAAGCTATGTCCAGCAACTTCTCCATCTATAAGAGAAGACAGTCAGGATATTAAGGGAACACCAGTCACCTATCTGTTTGTTATAACATACAATGTGATCCTTGATAAATGGCACTAATGCTGTCAGACTCAGTTAAAGCACTACCATGAGGAATCATAAGAAATCTATATTTGTTTGTCACTTGAATAACTTATTATTTTGTCATAATGGATACATTTGTTTAAAAAAGAAAAAAGGTATAACCTTTCTTTAATAAACATTTATATTTTTATACAAAAGTATCACACCACATTTATGTGAAGGATTTGAATGAGCTTCAGTATCAAATATTAGCAGTACCTGTGATATCAATCTATAACCACTAGAGGTCAGACTTTCACATTTTTCTAGGGTCACTTACCTAAATCAACTCATCAGTTTATTTATTTAGTTTTTTATTTTAACATGATGTACAAAGATCAGTTTTTCCAAAAAAAATTGAGAAAAAATGTTGACCTTTATTTCTCCATTCAAGAGCTACAAGGTGTTTGCTGTGTCTGCTTTGGGGCAAGATAGTTACATTAACATCAGACAGATAAAACATCCCTTTCATAAAGAAATCATCCACTGGTCAGACAAACAAGAAATACATCTAGAAACAGAAAAACACAGATTATAATTAAAGAAAACATATTTAGCCGACTTATATTTCACACTTTCAAACGTATAAAGGATGATATTAAAACACCAAATTCACAGTACATACAGTATTTTGTGTATGGACACCCCCAAGCTGTTTCAGGTCAGTCTAACTCTCATTGACGAGTTACAGCAGCAGCAGCAGTAGTTTAGTACTGCAGACATAAAGATAAACGTGGGATTTGTGCCGGGCTGCAGTTTCAGTGTTAGACGTGTTAGAGTTTACATTTGAAACCTGCTAAATGTAAAATGTTTGTGAAATGGTGCAGCTGTTAACAGGGTACAGAGGTCACGCTGCCCTGTGTGTACACTGTTATATAATGACTGAAGGTTAACATTGAGAGGAACGCAAAGGGGCCCTAACCAGATGTCTGATTAAGACCGTTATGTTGTCACTTCATTTCACAACAGTTTGTGGAAATTCTGCCTTTGTTTGTCCAAAGATTACTGACAAAACTAAAAGGCCAGATATAAAGACAACGCTATCAATAGTAAATGGTTTAGTTTTGTCTTTGAAAGAAGATCCGATATTTTTTTTAAATACACGTTATGGCTGAACAGTAGGCTTTTAACAAATGACCAGTTCACTTCTAAAATACCACTTGTGACTCAGATGGTCTAATGTCTACACAGTGCAAAGTGTAGAGCCTTCTAAATATTGTATCTACCACCTACCGACCAGAAGCACAAGGTTTAAAAATACATTGTGGGTTTTAAAAAAGCCACTTTTATTAAGCCATCATCTTAGGGTAAAATAATCTTTCATTAGTGGGAAATATACAATCTACTGTAAAGTGAGAATTTATGGAGAAAATACGTTTTTATATTATACCATAAGGTGCTGTCCTTGGACACTTTACAATGTCCAGAGCAAATAGACTGCATCAGATTTGGTTTAGCACAATGATTGTGTTTTAAAAACATTAATCATGATTTATTGTATCTACCCCGTGTTATTTCATAATGTAATGAGCCTGTAATCATCCTAATTCCTATGCCTTCTCATAGGAAAGCTGAACTACAGTCAAAAAAAGAACACAACAATTTCTACATTTGTATGTCTTTGTAACCGTTAACACTTTAGCGGATGACTTGACCTGGACATCAGGGAGAGAACAATATGGATAGCTCTAATGAAACAAGAAACATTTTACATGTGTATTTTAAAAAAACACACATTTTACTTGAGTGAAATTAGCAAGAAATACAGTAAACATTTACTGAATGCTGATGATTTTTTTTCTAATGAGATGCCCTATTCAGTTTCTCAAAGTCAAACGTGATGTCTTTAAATGTCTTGTTTTGTCATTCCAGAGCTTTTTTTGGTTGTTATCATATAAAAAGCTAAAAATATCCACATCATGGAGGCTGAAAACAGTACTTTCTGCCATTTTTGCCTTGAAATTCCCCCCCAATTAATTAGTCACTAACAGTTGCTACTCTAGCGCACAGCATTAAAGACAGTACTTCTTTTACTCTAACCTTTAGAAACATCTGTATCAGCCACTGTAGTTTTGAAGTAACTTATGTAACAGTCCTAAATTACTTAAAACAAAAAAGTGTAAAAAAAACCATGCCATATTTACAAGTGCAGCATTAATCTTAATATATATATTATTTAAATAATACATGTGGTCACTTGGCTAAAGCTCCATGGCCTAACCTAGGGTCAGTTTACCTTTCTCATTATGGACACCGGTTAACAGATCATAGACCTGCGTTAAAAATCGTATTTCATCTTCCTGTCATCACACTTGCTGCGGACTGACGTAAAGCTCACATGCTGGTTTGCTGCGTCTGTGGCTGCAGCGGGACAGGCTGCTGCTGCTCCGAGTCCCCAATGCTACACTCTTGTCCCTCGCGCATGTACATCAGAAATAGAGTCACAGTGGCAAATGTGGTAGCATTGACTGGGAACGCGCGGAGCAAAGTGGACGTGAGCCCGCGTGTGAACACCCTCCACCCCTCCTTCTTTAAGCTCTGTCGGACACAGTCCATAATGCCACTGTACTGGTTGACCCCGCCCACCCCGTCCGCCTGAAGACGCGACTTGATCACATCCACGGGATAGGTGGAGATCCAGGAAGCGATGCCAGACATTCCACCGGCGAACAACAGCTTGGGGATCATGTAAGGGTCCTCCGGCTCACAGCCCAGGTAACGGGTCCACGAGTCCCAAGCGAGAAAGTACACCCCGAACCCGGGCATCTCGCGCATCAGGGTGGTCACCATGCCGCGGTTTATCCCTCGGATCCCCTCCTTCTTGTATATTCTCACCAGGCAGTCCAGGGAGTTCTTGTACAGCTTCCTCTTAGACTTCTTCTCTCCAGTCCCTTGCAGCTGCATGCGCGTCTTGGCCAGCTCCATGGGGCAGCAGATGACACACTGGATGGTTCCTGCTGACGCTCCAGCCAGGAACTGGTTGAGAGGCGTGTCACGGCCAAGCTTGCGCATGGCGTTGCCCTGGACGCCAAACACTATGGCATTGATGAAGGTCAGGCCCATCATAGGAGAGCCGATGCCTTTGTACAGACCGGTCATCTACAGACAAACACAGATTACTGGAACCAATGAGGAAACACAGCAAGATTTACACACTTTTTAAATACTGGGTCCCTTAAATAACTCCTTCAAAGGAAGCTCAGTGTTAATAATCATAGCAGAGAAATGTGTTGAATTTAAAAAGTTTTCAATTTTAAGGCTTGTTTGTTTTTAGTTGACAGCTCATCTGTAATGCACACTATGAGTACCTGGCTACATTTAAAAAAAGTAGACCGGTCATGGATAATCTAAATATGAGTAATGCACAGATTGATTTAAATCTGTACAATCAGTGTCATAACCCAAAATCTGCCGTCAAATGTACATGTGATGCCTATAGGTGTCATGATTTCTACTATCATAAAAGAGCGGATGATGCTTGAAGACTTCAAATTACACTTCACAACTAACAACAGCATGCAGCTCAGAGACTACACAGTGTAGTGGCTTGAAATGTACTTTTTGTAACAAGGTTAAAACAAAACGTGATATTAAAAACATTGAATTGTGGATACTACTAAATGATTGCTGACAAATTAGATTACGAGGGAACAATAGGCCAGGAACCACTGTAACATATTCATATTATGGTGTAGGAGGAATACAATCTAATAATCCCTCCAAGTAAAACAGCCACAAGATACTCAGAGACCAAACTCTCCACTCAGCTCAAATGGCATGATGTCCCAAAGCTTTATTTAGCCCACGCAGGATAAGGTCCTCACTGGCCCTGGCACACAGACACATCTCCCACCCCCTAACACCCCCATGTAGGAACATGCTGGCTGCTTAGAGTGAAACCGGCTACATTAAAGTGACCCTCTTTAACCGCGGCAGAGTACTGAGCACATTGTGAAAGTTACACTCATTACTTAACACACATGAGGGTATGGAGCTGCATTCTAAGAAACAAAAAAATACAACGTACCGACTCCTGCCGTATGATTGACTGGAAGCAGTGATATGTCCCCCGGTACAGGGGTCTGTCCACATTTTGAACTTGAAGTCTCACCTGCGAATGATATGCTTCATGTTAGAGACATCCAAGAGTTATGAAGCCAAAAACTACAAAACGCACATTATAATACAGGTTTAAAAAAGGGGTCAAAAAAAAACAGCTAGAGCTTTTAAATATTTCTTTTTTAAGGGTGAAAATGGGATGCAACACGAAGGGGGAGAAAATAACCAAAATAAAGTTGTATTAAAAACGAAATGTCTTCTGTGCTTTGTATTGCTATAGCTTAAAGACAAGACATTGGGTGAGAGGAAAAGAAAGACCTTGACGATACTTACTAGGTCACATTTCCACGGAGAGGTTGTTTATTTCTCTCTCTCATCTACAACACAGCGACACTGTTGCTGTTAAAGACCCAGCAACAGCTCAGGGAGAAATGACATTCATGGTGTGCTAAATGTAACTTTCTTGCCTTTTCAAACAAATCAAGTGAATGATATATCACAGCAAATTCAATGCAATCTTATAAGTCACGGTATCCTAAAAATGCAATGTCGAAAAACCATGCACAATGTTTTATTTTACCATTGATAGTAGCTGTACGCCAAAAGGAGTAGAAATTAGTCCACTCACTAACGCGACTAGGTTACTTTATGTGACCTTGGAGTTAGTTGAAAACAATGACTGTTTAGGGTTAGTGAGTTCAGGAGTTACTCAGTAAAATGCCAGAAATAAAAGATTATTTCACTTATAAAGGAAGTGAGAGCACGTTCTTGGTACATAGGTATGGTTGCTGATAAATACTACATTTTTGGGGGAAAGAAATATCTGTTTAGAAAAACATAATTTATACAGTATCTGATTCCTCTTGTAAACTCACTGTATTTACAGAGTGGTCAAGATTACAACACTGAAAGCAAAGTACTGGATCATGCCATTGCCTAATGTGAGTAAATAGTGATGACGATGGACACACACCCACCTTCACTGTGTCAAATGGATGTCCGACCAAAACACCAGCAGCACCTGAGAAAAGAATTTACAGGATTTCAAATCATATTTAAAAGAAAAAAAGAAAAGGTAATCATAATGGAAGTGGCTCTTCACTCAAGAGCAAACGTATATTCTGCTGGTCGCTGATGACAGCTTTACGTGCACGACCTGTCCTTGACTTGACTGAGACATAAATCTATTATACGGTAGGAAATTCTATTCATGACAAATGATCACCTAATATTCAAATGTGTACTGTTCAACCTATATGTCCTGTTGTCCATGAACTAAAAATGTGTGCAAACATATTTACTGATTTAGAAATGTTGTTTATAGACAGAGGGAAACGAAGGCTCATTATTAAACTCTGTTGAGCTTATGATTTAAAAAAAACACATCTACCTCCAGTTATAACTATGGTGCAACCAGCTTGCCTTGGCACAGGCTTGTATGTATTAGTGAATGAATAACTAAACTGTCTGCAGCAGAGTTGGACTGAATCCATTTTAAATGTGCTCAAATGATTGTATAACACTTGCAGGTGCACTTTGTTTTGACTGAGCTTAACAAACCAGTTTCTCATCGTGTAACTGCACACATGTAACGCATGCAGCACTATCCCTAGCACTTTTATCTTTAGTGGAATCTAACAAAAGGTCATCCTGTTTCCCTTGAACTTCATTTATTTATTGAATTAATTTGCCTGACATTTAATGGCTTTCTTTAAAATGAATGCTTCCTATTTGTGTTTATTAGAGACAAGGATATGTTGTTAATTATTTCTTCCAAATGGCTATTCTCATGCTTAATGTCCTCCTAGTTATTATAAAGTTTGAATGAATTAATGCAATTGTCCCTGACTGCGATGCACGCAAAACAGGCTGGTATTTAGACGTATTTGACCAAATACAACAACATTCTTTTGCAATGTATGCCTTAGTCTTCAGACCCAAAACATCCCATCAGGGCCTCTGCTCTTTAAAGTGGTACAATCTGGGGTAGTTTGGGAAGACCTGGCCTTGGGTGAAGACAAAACAGCTGACAAGATTCCCAGGGGTTAATGGTGAGACTACCAGGAAAAACTGGCTGTGAGGTATAATCAAACGGTAAGCAACTTCAGGTTGTCCATTTAAATTATTATGTGGAAATAAGCCCCTAGTGTAAATATGTGTCTGATATATTATGATAAATAATCACGAGAAGAGATGATGCTATATCCACCTGATGCACTGATACACAAAACGTGTTCCCCTTTATTTTTGGGTTAAGCTAAACTGATTTGAGCATGCTAAATGTATCTCAAACGAGTTATAACTTGAATGACATACTATAAACACCACTCCCTCTGAGTTATAGGTATGGAATGTAACTTCAGACAGGACTTAACTACATCCGGGAATTTAGAATAGAATCTTGCAAGACGAGTCTCTAGCCTGTTATTGTGGTTTGTTTAAAATGTTTGTCAGACGTGGCAGTGGGAGACAAATCCCTATCTTCACTATGTGAGCTGTCCACGCGTTGCTTGAAGATGGGGAAAAAAAGGAAAGCTGGCTAATGCTAATGCTAGCTTGCACTTGTCAACCTGGGTAACGTGGCTAGCGAACATCAATACTGGCTAATTACTTACCTCCTATGCAGCCTGCAGCGAAGTCCAATGCCATTCCCTCAAAAAATCTTACGCTTTGAAAGTGTTAAGTTACCTCTTTGACTGACAAAACGTATTATTGGAAGGATAATACTTCCCGGAAATCTGTCTTAACTTGTATTATTTACAAACTAGTGCAGCGCTGTGCAATATCCTCTCCTGGGTCTCAGACTGATGCTGCCGAGCAGAGTGAAGATTGCTCCCGGTTTATTGATAACCACTCGGAGCCTGGTTAAAACTGTGACCGATGTATTTTGCTGATGTGTCCTCACGCTCACTACTAGAAGTACCCAAACCTTTCTATTTCTGTACCGCGGGAGGAGGAGGCGGGGGTTCAAAGTGAAGAAGAGTCAAGCGTGTCTGCCCTTTTGTAAGGCAGTCCAATCAGGTTAGCAGGACGCAGACAACTCCCCAGTGGGTGCCGCCACCCCCTCCCATTGGCTGACGCCGGGCGGGCAGAGGAGAGTTTAAAACTCTACTCCACAGCGTCAAAATCAGTGTTATCATGGTGGTCGTCATCATGCGTATGAGTGTCTAACTAGCATATTGAAACAGAGACTACAGAGCATTGTGCCAAATTCAGGACACAACAACAGCTGTGCGGGGTGGTGGGATGCAATGGAATAAAACAGCCTGGCCACCAACCAACACGTGGTGGCAGTACATATGAAAAGTATTGCTCATACTTGTAGCCTAATAACTTGAGTATATCTGTTACATGTTTTCTTAATGCTGCTACCAGAGCTGCAAAAGTACTCAGATTTTTACATTTTTAATGCTATTTTATTTCCATTTCTTAAATATTTTGGACTGCTTATTTCTTGTCTTAATTTTTCTCATGTACATTGCCTTGCCTATACGCAAAAATGACCCAAATTAGGATCAATAAAGTACCTATCTATCTATCTATCTATTTGTACTTAAGTATAAGTACCAGAGCGTAGGAATACTCTGTTACAAGTTAAAGTCCTGCATTCCAAATGTTACTCAAGTAAAAGGAGAAAAGTATTAGCATCAATATATACCTAAAGTACCAAAAGTATTTATTTTGCAGATTGGTCCATTCCAGAAACATATTGATATCAAAAGTAAAAGTATGTATTATACAAATCGATCCATTCCAGAAACATCATTATATATTATATGTTTTGATTACAATTATTGATGCATTAAAGTGTTATCAAAGCTGGTAAAGGTGCAGCTAGTTTGAATTACTTTGTATACAGCCGGGTCGCTTGTGAATGTTCTCCAGGTGTAACTAAAGTGTTATTTAAGTGTTGATATATTTCACATTATAAATACAAATCTACAAAGTAACTAAAGGTATTAAATCAATGTAGTGGAGTAAAAGTATAAAATGGAAATACTCAAGTAAAGTACCTCAAAATTGTAATTAAGTGCAGTACTTGAGTAAACATACTTTGATACTTTACACTTCTGGCTGCTACTTATAATTATGTTTGTAATTATAACTTTATTTAATATGTTGGTCTACTCATTTTATTTTGCCTGTTTATCTAACTCTCCCCTTTGCTTGCACTCCGTGACATCTTGGAAGACATTATTGTGCTACATTTATTTAACAACAGCGTTTGTAGGAACTTTTAGCTAAGTTTTAAAGCATTGAGAGCAGAACCTACACTTAACTCTAGAGTGCCAAGCTTACGTGGTGAAGGAGCATAATGAAAAACATAAAAACGGTTTCTGTCTGAATATGAAAACATTGTTTATATAACGATATGTTTTGTTTTGTTCAAGTAGTTGCATTTTTGATCTGGGCAGGAGTGAAATCCTTTTCCCGACTAAATCTTTATTCTGGGCAGAAGTGAAACTCTGCTTAGACTAACAATTAAACTGTACTTGAACCAAATGAAACTATTTATCTTCCAAAAAAAAGAAGTTGCCTTGAGTCATTCCCGTTTGTTGATAAAAATAGAGTTGCTTTCATTCCTTTGAGTAAACACCGATACCCCACTTCCTGTTATATATGCTCGGACTCTTCAGATTAACTTCCCATAATATATCTCCTATTACCATACTGACACTATCTCTCAACACCATGTAGAACACAGTGGAAGTGACTGTTCAAACGCTTTTTCTCCAAAGTAGAATACTTTTCATTCAAACTGGATGTGTAAATGTGTTATAGTAAGAAATTGCCACAATGTTCCCTTATACTTCGATTTAATTTTCATTCGACCTGATCTGAATTCAGGGCAGAGAGTAAAGCAGCGCTTCCAACACAAACACTTCATGGAGATGGATGTGTACATTTGGTGCAGAGTGAAGCCAACAAGTTGCATGACGTCAAAGGCAATGCCATGCTTAGTTTAACACATTGCTTCAGTAATTTTCATGTTCACATTTTCTCCAGGTCTGATGCAAACTGAAAGAGAAAACTTTTGTATTCCTGTTACAAATGACAATAATGTGGAATGGAGAAAGATACTTATTTCCTCGTGTATAAAGTTTGGTGACATGATGAAGCTTGACATCTCATCAAGCATGCTAGAAGTTAAAATGTAGAGGTCTGGGAGTCATGAACTGCTTGACCTCCTCCTCTGTGACTTGTTTGCGTCGCTGCTGATGCTGCTCGATCATTGGCTGCAGAGTCTCGATCAAAAGCTTCTTCAGTTCTCCTGTTAAGAGAGCTCCACTTGCGTAATCCTGTAGAGAAAAGATAGAAAGAGTGGATGTGAGGAATGTGAAAACAGGAAGTTGAAGAGGACGATCATTGAGCCGAGAGGAATGGAAAAATAAAAACCAAGATAAAGCGTTCAAGGGTTGATAGAGAAAGCAAAACAAGAGTTCTATTTATCGTAAGAGTAAGGAAAACAAAATAGAGATAAGCAGATAAGATAAGCAAAATAACATATTATATATTTCCTCTTTTCTCCAAACTCACCTGTCGGATCTTTTCCAGCTGTTCATCATCCTCCAGGAAGAATGTCAAGTACATGAAGGCAACGTCGACGTCTGGGTTTCCTCCATACTTCCTGTGCTCTTCCACTGTGTCCTTTCCTCCCGAAAACGCATGTTTGTTGACCTGCGAGACGTGGATACACGGGTCATTAAGCACTCATAAGAGATATGAAAGGGACTGATAACTATTCAGAGAAATAACTAGTATGGGCAGCACCTTGTTTTTGATCTGCTTGGGTGTGTCAGTGAGGAAGATGGAGGTGTTGGCGTCACTGGCGCTCATCTTGGTCTGCGCCCCCTGCAGGGCGGGGAAGAAGGTGGAGTGCAGCAGGGCTGGTTTGGGATAGCCGATCCTTGGAGCTACATCACGGGTCATCCTGAAGTAGGGGTCCTGGGGGAGCAAGAAAATAAATATCAATACATGTGACTGTGCAATATTAGTATGTGGTGTTGTAGACTATTAAAGGTCCCCTATTATACTGGTTTTCACCAATATATACAAAACATGTCTCCAAACACCAAACAGATCGTGCATTGTGTCATCCCATAATCCCCTCTGTTTCAGCCCTATTTCAAAAGTGCTGATTCTCTGTCTGTTACTCTAGATGAAAAT